AGCTTTCTCTTGCTTTCCGGGGATATGACTTTCTTCCATGACTGATGCACATGGCGACGGAGCTCAAGGTCATAGGCGTCAGACAGGGGTGGGAATCGCACTCCAAATTCGTCTTCATTAGCTCCCCTCAATGGATGAGTTCCTGCCAGACCTGCGAGGAAGAGATGCTGTATCGCGGTGTCAGATTAACTCCACTCGATAGCATAGCTTTGATGAGGATTTCTCTTACATCATTCAATAGAACGATATCCCCCACAGAATAATCAGAATTTAAACCTCCTGCCGCATTGGTCACTACCGAATATCATTAATTCTTGCCGCTCTGTATCATTTATCATCATAATCATGTAGAACTTACAGACAACCGTATTCACTTGCAACTGCTTGAACACTCGAATTGGGAATGACACTTGATCAATCGAGTGCCCCTCGTAGTAACTAAGCCAAGGTCAGCTGTGATATTGCAAACAGAGAGAGGGCTTAAGCTGACTGAGCACGGCCAACCATCAATACCGCAGGGATTTTCTGGCCAAGAAGACCAAAAACCAGCTTTCCAGCATGTCCAACGACTGTGGAATGTTAGAACCTCTGCTTTCCTGAGACCGAAAAAGATGACCAACCTGTTGAGCGAGGGAAGTGAGGAATGGATGCATAGTCAAATTCAATCCGTGACTCGGAGTGAATAGTATCTGCAAGCCCGCCTAGTCCTGAACCGCATACAATTGCGACGTGAGGCTTTTGCAGGCTCTCTGGCAACTTAGCTCTGAGATAAGAAACCGCTTCGTTGGCCCGCTCGAACGAAGACAGCTCTGTCTTTGTCATTTTTGCAGAAGTCAGACTGGTCGTATATACTTGAAAGAAAATAGAATATGTTAAGTGGAAAGTAGTATTGAGCGAAAAAGCGATGTTTCCAAGTGCGGAGTCACATGGTTCCATTGCCTAGGTCGCTAGTTTGGCGGGGGTGCAACGAGCCGATTCATAATAGAAAACTTTCAAGATAAGCAGGATAACCACTTGGGAATGTCTAATAACTTATTGGATAGAATACCCCATCTAAAAGCCTGGAGTAAGAGAGCTGATCACCTATGAGGGAGCACATCTATATGGACGGTAACATAGGGCATCGGTTGCACATTCGGAGATTTAATCATATAGGATCAATTATCAACCCCTGACAACTGATCTAGTTGCCCTTATCATTTATATCAATGGGATAATAATATAATAACCATATGGTAGATATCACTCACTGTACTCCGTACACACATTGTAGTTCAGTCGCTTTCTCTATATCCAGTTCCCCACTCACCGCCCTGAACTCGCTCCCCGAAAAAACCCATCCGCTAACAACAACGAATCTTCCCCAAAATCACGATTAACAATGTTCTCATACACATCGCGCTCCTTAATTGGAGTGAGCAAGCACCTCAGGGTATGTTCTTCATTTTGTTTGACTCATAATTGGCGCTAACAGCTCCTTGGGAAGGTGCCTGTGCCATTCCGCTCTCTATCAACCCCAACCCAGCCAACTCCGCCGGCGCAAGAGAAGAAGCCCGTCCAAGACCCGACACCGACACCTACACCAGTTGCTCCTGCAGAAGCTGCCCCTGTGGCCCCTACTCCTGTCGCTACGCCCACCGCAACTCCCGCCGCTACACCCGCCGCTACCGCCCCTGCATCGACTGCCCCAGTAGCGTGAGATACTCTTCAAATCAGTATGAGTTGAGTTTGTTGCTGATTAAGACAATTCAGATCGACCGAAGCCGAGAAGATCACCAAGCCTAGCGTTAAGGAATGGTTAGTATCCGAGGCGATTGGCTCAATGTCAAAACATATCAAAGATCACTGCTCACAGTTTGGTTAGGTCTGAACGGTTAGGAGTATTCGGTGAGGAGAACCGACTCCCCCGAAGCGTGCAAGCCATATACCTACGTCCTTTGCGGAGAAAGGCAGAGTACGGCCTCCCAGTCTGCGACCTTCAATTGCGATCATACAGCGTCCGTAACGTGGAGTTCTTCGCGGACTTCGCCATCCGTGCCGCTTACTACCTCAACCTCCCCGTTTCTGGGCCTGTGCCTCTCCCTCGCATCGTTGAACGCTGGACCGTACCCCGAAGCAACTTCGTGCACAAGAAGAGCCAGGAGAACTTCGAACGAATCACTCTCCGTCGACTTGTTCAGATCAAGGATGGAAACCCACAAGCGGTGCAGGCGTGGCTTGCATTCCTCCGGAAGCACGCGTTTTATGGAGTCGGTATGAAGGCAAATATCTGGGAACATGATAGTCTCGGTATGGTTACACTTTTCTTCCTTTCTTTTTCGCCTAGGCGACGTCTTCAATGATCAAGGTACTAACCATCGATTCTATAACAGATGCTGGTAAGGCTATGGATGCTTCTGTCGCCGAGGTGGAAGAAGCCCTTCGCCCCGACCTCGCGCAATTCGGCCAGCGGAAGGACAACTCGGCCCCGGGCACGATATTCGATACTTTGAACAGTGAGCGATTCGCAGAGCGCAGAGGTCTATAGATCGAATGGTGATCTACTGCCGAACTTGTATACCCGTGAACATCCGGACTTGGTGTCTTTGCTGCAGGCGCTGTCTTATATTCAAAAGCCTTCTTGATCTAGGCCATATGTATTTTACTTGTTTTACTATTCTCATTTAAGCCCGGATGAAAGAAAGCTTATAGATACTAGAAGTTTGCTCTCCACAACCGGGTCCCCATTAGATGTATCACACCGATATTATGTGTAGTATCGGAATTTGCTTATCGTAAGTGTAGACAATGATGCCAGTACATTTTTATGCCGACGCATTGTACGACATGGATCACGTGATATATTTCGCGTTTCGCGTTTTTCAGGGTCGTCGAGGGCTACGGCAGTACGAAATAATTGCACTTGGAATTTTCCATTCTCGCACCGATTGAGTGTTTGTTGGAGATGTCTGTCAACGCGATGCGTCATGAATTTGCCTCGCTGAGGTCATTGCGTGCGAAACATCTCCATATCCGTCCAAGTGGACTCTCCCTTCTCCCAAGGAGATGCCATCGATGGAACAGCTCAAACACTACGCCGCCAGCGCAAGAGCCCGTTATATTTTCTGGGATCCAGCCCACTGGCGTGCCTCATTTAGGCAATTATCTAGGAGCTTTACATCAATGGGTGAAGCTCCAGGACAATGCAGCTGAAGGAACCAAGCTACTTTTCTCTATTGTTGATCTACATGCATTGACAGTACCGCAAGATCCAGCCCAATTGAAGAGATGGAGAAGGGAAGCTTTTGCAACATTGCTCGCTGTGGGCTTGGATCCTAAGCGCTCTACCATATTCTATCAGTCCAGTGTAGGTTCCGTCTTATAGCCGTCGGTTGCAAAGTATAAAGACTTTATATTGACATTCATCAGGTGCCGGCACATACTGAGCTGATGTGGATTCTCAGCACGGTGGCTTCTATGGGATATCTGTCGCGTATGACACAGTGGAAGGTGAGTGGCTCTGTAATCTTTATATCCGAAGGCATTTTATTGACCCCCTCCAGAGTAAGCTACAGCTACCAGAAGACACCACGCTGGATGATTCGACGGCGCGCGCACAGCTGCGACTTGGTCTTTTCTCCTATCCAGTACTCCAAGCTGCTGATATCCTTGTGCACCGGTATGCTTTTCGTCTACATTAGCGGGTTCTTTTACTAATGGTCACCAGAGCCACTCATGTCCCCGTTGGAGAAGACCAAAGACAGCACTTGGAATTTTCCAGATATACAGCAAACAGCTTTAACCACCTCTACGGGCCGATCTTCCCCATCCCGGAGGCATTGATATGTAAGATACCAGTTGCCGGTTCCAGAAGGGGCAAAAAAAGGAACACAAGGAACAAACCAGATACTAAATTGACCAGCCCCTGCCAAGCGAGTGATGTCCCTTAAGGAACCCACCTCAAAGATGTCCAAATCGCACGCCGATGAGAAATCCCGGATCATCCTTACCGACTCGCCGGAGGAAATCCGCAAGAAAGTCAAGGTAGCCCTGACGGACTCAGAAGCAAGCATCACCTACGACCCGACCTCTCGACCTGGCGTATCTAATCTCATTGAGATCCTAAGCCACCTGGAAGGTGTATCATGCGAGGAGATTGCGGCCGACTTCCACGGCGCGAGTCTCCGGTCGCTCAAAGAACATGTTGCAGAGCGGATTGCCCATCATTTGCAAGAGATCCGTGATCGCTATACCACGATCATGCAGGATAACACTGGATACCTGGAGTCTGTGGCTGAGGAGGGAGCCGAAGCAGCGCGGGCCAACAGTCGGGTGACCATGCGGCAAATTCGGGATGCGATGGGATTGTGAGTGGCAAGTAAGATGTATAGATCATGTACAATAATAGTAGAGCAGTGAATGACTTGTATATTAAAAATACACAGCCTTGAAACATCGAGTCAGATGTGTAGACCAACAGTTAGTCTACACTAAACAAAGGTTGGGCTAAAGTGGAGTCATCTGCGTCATTAGCCTCCACCACGTATGTCGCCTACGTATGCTAAGGATCTATACGATCCGTTCTCGATTTTTTTGCAGACGGAATAATTTGAGTGATGGAGACTTAGATTAATAGTAAAAGTGCTGGGCATTGTAAGGTTTATGCTTGGTGACGACAGCACTTGGAGATTCCGCCATACCCGTTGGTGTGGACTAAATTAACCAAGGCAGAAACATAGGAACTAATAAAAAATAGTGTAGAGCTATTTCATGTAAAAGTGGTCCACTTGTCTAGGGTATCCGGCTGGGCCCGAATAATAATCAATTGGGGACTTCCAAGACTGGATATCAGCCCCCATTTCCTCTTCCCTCTTTTTGCTCTCGCTCTATTCTCTATTTTCTTGAATTCGTTTCCCTATTCATCTAAACACCTGGGAAAATTGTTTCTTGAGTAGTTCCAGAACCAGATATTTGATCTCTCACATTCCAAATCGAACCAGAGGGGAACGATCGGCGCTATCATGAAAAATGCATGGATCCTATTGGCCACTGGCCTGGCGCTCCCAACCTGGGGTATAACCCTTCATCGGAGAGATAACCCGGCAGTGGTGCAAATGGATATTCAAAGAAAGGATGTTCCCGATCCCGTCGCTAGAGATCAAGCAAGGAGGAAACGTTCGACAGTCAGCCAGGCACTGGACAATGAGGTATGCATGATGATATCCACGGATATATTTAGATATAATCTTATTGAGCTTCATATTAATGTCTCTGCCTAGGAAACTTTGTACTTCTGTAACGTCACTTTGGGTACCCCAAAGCAGGGCTTACGTTTGGTTCTCGACACTGGAAGTAGTGATTTGTGGTGCAATACGCCAAATTCTACTCTATGTGAATCCACCCGCATCGCTTGCGCCGCGTCTGGTACTTACAACTCGAGCGCTTCCTCTTCATATTCATTCGTGAGCTCGGATTTCAATATTAGCTATGCCGATGGATCTAGCGCTGTTGGAGACTATGTTTCCGATACCATCACTATTGGAGGCGTATCTATTAAAGACTTCCAATTTGGCGTTGGCTTTGCCTCTGGTTCTCCAGGTAAGTCACTTGTGCCAGATATAACGCCAATTGCCACAGAGCTGACATGAATATTTGTATAAAGAGGGTGTGTTGGGTATAGGATATCCTGCGAATGAAGTTCAGGTTGGCAGAAATGGAGACTCTGCTTATGCCAACCTGCCCAAGGCAATGGTCGACAAAGGATTAATCCAATCAAATGCCTACAGTCTCTGGCTCAACGACCTGGATGCGAGCAGAGGATCGATTTTGTTTGGTGGAGTCAACACTAAGAAATACCAGGGCACCCTGCAGACAGTCCCCATCCAGAAGGTCCGCGGACAGTACTCGGAGTTCGTTATTGCGCTCACTGAACTGTCCCTTACCAATGGTTCCAGCACAAAAACTCTTTCTTCGAGTTCCATTCCTGTGGGTGTGTTACTGGATTCGGGAAGCTCTCTTTCATATCTTCCAGACTCGCTTGTTGAGGAAATCTACAACGATCTCGGTGTCTCCTATGAATCAGACAGTGGCATTGGCTACATTGACTGCAGTCTAGCAGAGCAGAGCATCAGTCTCAGCTACACGTTCTCATCCCCGAAGATTAACGTGGGCATCGACGAGATGATTATCGACGTTGGCGATCTCTATTTCAAGAACGGCAGGCGGGCCTGTGTTTTCGGTATTGTTCCCGCGGGAGGCAGCACGGCGGTTCTGGGAGATACGTTCCTCCGCAGTGCGTACGTGGTCTACGATCTCGCCAATAATGAGATCTCCCTTGCCAACACCAACTTCAATACCACCGAGAATGACGTCTTGGAGATCGGGACTGGCTCTGATTCCGTCCCCGGTGCGACGCCAGTCTCGAACCCAGTGACTACCGCGCCAATTGGTGGCGCTGCTGCTCGCATTGGAGGTCCACATGGAACATCTACCGGCGTTTCGGGCTCAGCCTCAGCCACTGCGAATGTTGCCATTCCCAAGGCCATCGCTATGCCGAAACTGGCTATCGGCCTTGCTGGGGTAGGAGCCCTTCTGACCTTTTAAGACCTTTGGATGACCACGTACATTTCTTTTTATGTATATATTTTGCATACTGTGGTGTATTTGGAGTCTGGGAAGGCTATACCTAGAGTTCTTTTCCGCAATACCCAAGTATCTAGTTTTTATGTGTTATGATTAAATGCATTGAGTCTGAATTATTCAATACCCGAACTAAATGTAGCAGTGTACATGTGAAGTACATAGAAAGTTGACTATACAAATATCCTTGCATGTAATATCTGTCCTTCTGGTCCTTTTTAAATTTCTCTCGGCTTTGACTGATCAAATATGATGGTCTGTCTAGAAGGCATTAGTCCGGGGCTACTGTTTTTCAGAGGGAGAGAGGGAGAGGGAGCCCTGGAGAGAGTACTTTTGTCATTGTTATCTGTCATATAAATGGCCCACCACCAACAATTCATCGCATCTAAAAAACCACCAGGCAACTCTTACAGTTTTCCCCAATTATCTCTTCATTCAGTCCTCCTAAAATGAGCGCATGTAAGCCCTACGACGATGTTGCCTGGGCAATAAACTCCCAGATATGGGAGGACTGGCCAGAACTTCTTCGCACCGATGGAGACATCTACAATGACATCGGAGTCATTCTTTCTGAAGAATTCAGCGATCTTGAATGCGACCTGTTCGATTTCCTCAACACAGGTGGTTTTAATACCTGCTTCAAGATGAGTTTCACCAATGATTTTGGTGCTGTTATACGGTTCCCAATGCCCGGCGCTATCATGTTTCCCGAAGAAAAAGTCCGCAATGAGGTTTCTGTCATGCAATCTCTCTTGGACAAAACTTCAGATAAAATCCCAATCCCAGTGCCTTCTATCTTTCGCTGGACAGAGGCAAAAGAGAGTCACTCGAAACTAGGTCCTTTCATCATCATGAATTATATCCCCCACGAGGGAAGTATGGGTGATCTTCTTGAGAAACCAGGACGCCAAGTAGGAGAACGGTCAGTCCTTAATCCAGAACTTAAGCCGATCAGGCTAGAAGTTCTCTATGGAAAACTAGCCAGCATAGTCCTTTCGCTGTCTACACTTTCTTTCGGCCGGATAGGATCACTCGACAAGAATGACAATTCTACGTGGGAAGTGTTACATCGACCTCTGTCTTATTCTATGAACGAAATTGTGCAACTGGGCACGCTACCCCGATCGAAGTTACCGCCCACCACTTATGATAAAGCGTCGTCGTATTTTGAAGCCCTGGCGGAGCTACACATTTCACATCTCATAAGCCAAAGGAACGAGGCAGATGTCTTAGCGTATATCCCAACAGATGTCTTGGCAGATGACTTCCGGCGCAAATTTGTGGCTAGATTTCTCTTCCGGACACTTATTAGAGACCAGGAGCAGAGAAAGCAATGGATATTATATGATGATGGCCCATTTCCAGTTTGGTGTGACGATTTTCGACCAGAGAACGTTCTAGTTGATGAAGCTGAAAGCATCACTGGGGTGGTGGATTGGGAGTTTACATATACCGCCCCAGCCGAATTTTCTTATACGCCGCCTTGGTGGCTTCTTCTCCAAAAACCAGAAGATTGGCCTAATGGCCTTGATGACTGGTGTACAGAGTATGAGAAACATCTCCAGACCTTTCTTGGAGCAATGCGGCAAGTCGAAGACGAGGCAATCCAAAACAAACGGCTAGTAGAAGGCCAGCGGCTATCTAGTCGGATGCGGGACAGTTGGCAGAGCGGAGATTTTTGGGTCATGTACGCTGCAAGGAACAATTTTGCCTTTGATGCGATCTATTGGAAAAAGATCGATCGGCGATTCTTCGGAACCACCACATATGAAGACGACAATATTTGCGATGTATGGCGGAAGAGACTTCATCTCTTAGAACCAGAAGAGATAGAGCTCATGGAGAAATATGTGGATCTAAAGCTCAAAGAGAGGAACACAGGTCTTTTCGCTTGGGATCCTAATGAGTACACGGTGGAATGGATCAAGAGGATGAAAGTGATAAGGAAGATCAAGGAAATGAAGGATAACATGTATACGGTGGTGATAGAGTGGGAGGGAGAGCTACAGAGCATGGTAGAAATGAAAAGGAAGGTGACAAAGAGAATCGAGGAGATGAAGGGGGAAATGGAGAGGATGGAGATAGAGTGGAAAGGGGAGATAAAAGACATGAAGGAGATGGAGAAGAAGGAAGAGGTACAGGAGATGAGGGAGATGAAGAGGAGGAAGGCGATGGAGTGGGAGGAGATAAAGAGGAAGATGGAGGAAATTGAATTGCTTCCTTAGGCCATCTATGAGTGCTTTGTTTAGAGGTAGCTCTTTCCTCCTAATTTCTCCAATCACAAACATCAACTCTCATCCCATCAGACACCGAATCCTTCAAACTTTCCATACCCACACGCTTCGATACCAACATTCGAAGATCAACAATGGTGGTGAGATACCTGGCCACGTCCGAGATGACTGTCACGGCTGGACTATTCGGATGAGGGACAACTGTTGTGGCTCCAAATGTCACGGTAGTGGCGGCATATGACCGCACCAGCGTAAGGACCTCATAATATTCTGGTGGTCACTTTACTAATGGAGTTTTGATAAAAGTAAATGGGCACCGTGGCGGCAAAAAGCATCAAGGTATGTCTTCCAGTTTGAATCTGCATATATTCAACCTAGCTTGTCCTTGGGATATGTGGTTTGCTTTGCAGTCTGCATTGGAACAAGCCCAACAATGACTTAGCACCACTGCATATACTGTTTGATCAACTAAGAAACATACTGATATTGTATGCTTAGACAAGAAGAATTCCGTCCTGATGAGGCCGCCTGATCTGAGAGCACGAAGGCTGGATAATGTATACTTACAAAAGAAGCCTGCCACCTTTGACCCCTATCCTCATGCTTTGTGGAGGCCTCTCATACGACCTGTTGCCTAATGCGGGGCATGGGTACGTAAGAAACTCGTTCAATTATACAATCTATTCCCTTTCTATGCCTCCCGATTACCGTCATTATTTAAAGGTTATTGCTAACTTGGAAGTAATGGCAGCGCACCCAACCGCTTCTACGAAGAGTAACCTAATATGGGATCTAATCTGCTTTTTAGATTGGAGCAGGCCTCTCAGTCTAGAGTAGTGCAGTTTTCTGATTTCTGCAAAACATGCTGAATGAAAAAGATGCCTACGAGCACTTCGTAGAGAAGCTCCGGGTGACCGTTGACTGGGATGAAATTCTGGGGGTTAGAACTTATGTACATACTTAAAAGTACGTGGTCAGTCGGATTTCCCTGTGGAGCTTCGAGAAAGAGGAGGTTGCACCAGTGGAGTTGTTCTGTCGTGATCTTTTGAGTGAGGCAATTGGTTTAGAGACTCTACGCTGTGTCTTGAGTAAACACGGGTTTCTAGTCGATGGGTTGTCTTTCTTGAATATTTTTACCTAGCTAGTTGACCTCGGAATACCTTCACTCTTAGCTAATACACATTACTATTCTATTTATCAATCTTCAATTTGCAGATGAAGCTATTACATCTTAATATTGCTTTCTGACATCTTGAATTTCTACACGGAGTAGTAAATGATATATATATCTTGGCATCAACGGGTGGGATCTCTTGGCGCTAACCCTGGAAAGTTCCTCGACTGACCACACCTCGAATTCCCATAATGCCGCGAATCCCCTTTTCTATTATCATAAAAGCTCAACGGGAAAACTCTCTCTTACCTATACTCCTCAAAGAATGTCGCACAATCGATTCTGCTCGCAATGAACTTCGCTGGTTACGCGAGCGGGCAGTTCGCGATAGCCAGTCTGTCCCAAGATCAAAGGCAGGATGGAGAAGCCGATTGAGATCTATGTGTCAGATGCGATCTAGAGGATATCCTCTCCAATATATTCTTGGAGATCAACCATTCGGCGATTTAGAAATTCTTTGCCGAAGAGGCGTTCTGATCCCAAGGTCTGCCTATCAGTTTTCTAGAAAAGCGATATTTCTTGCTGACGACTTTTTGCAGACCAGAGACCGAATCATATACGTACCAAGCGGCCAAGTTAGTCCGTCAAATGGCTCTGGACCGTAAAGACACGTCCAAGTCTCCCGACCAGGGGAGACCATTGCGTGTCATTGATCTTTGCACTGGCACAGGCTGCATACCACTTCTGCTGCACGCATTACTTGCTCCTCATTTCCAGCAGCTGGAGATAATTGGAGTGGACATCAGTCCTACGGCCTTAAGTCTAGCCCAGGAGAACCTCAAGCATAACCTGCAACTGGGCCAATTAGAGCCCAGCGCAGCCACGGACATCCACTTCCACGGCGCCGACGTCCTTGGACATGGAAGTGGCCATTCTATGCCATCCATTGAGTCACTACTGCAAACTCAACTCCCTAATTTTGGATTGGACACCTCACCATCCGACCAAGAAAGTGAATGTGATCTATTAATCTCCAACCCGCCCTACATATCCCAAAAGGATTTCCGAAACGGCACTACTGCGCGTAGTGTACGGCGCTTTGAACCCAAGCTGGCACTTGTGCCTCCATACTCCGGCTCCGGGATAGAAGACTGCATGCCCGAGGATATCTTCTACCACCGCATTCTCACTCTAGCATTCAAGTTGAAGGCCAAGCTTACAGTGCTGGAGTGTGGGGATTCAAACCAGGCTAATCGAGTGGTTGCTCTTCACAGGCGGCTTGCTACTGCTGAATCCGGAAAGTTCAGTGCGGAGGTCTGGCCGAGTCGAGAGCAGGATTTGGCCGATAATGGGTTTCATGTGACTGACGGTTCGCGAGGGGTTATTATACGGACTCTTCAGTAACGAGCGCAGCTATCCAGCATTCTCATTCCATCGGAGTATTTTCCTCAGTGTCAGATCATTCTCAATATTAATTTCAATCTTATGAATAACTTTGGACTTTGGAATTTCTTGTTTCATATATTCAAAAGTATCATACATATGCCCTCATTTTGGCCTTGATGCCAACACATGGAAAAAAAAGAGAAAAGTGTACAGATAAACTAACCAAGTTCATTTGTATCGCCCATGAAAAAAGAAAAAAATAACATTATTTACAGAATGGGGTAGATCACCAATAGACCCGAGTGCTGGTGGTCAGTTTTGGGAATATTAAAACAGGTAAGAGATGCACAAGGCGAATTAATGTACTTGAATTAGCGTTAAAAAAATGGCACGGGGAACAAAAGGTATGCAAAAGTCCAAACCCAAAATCCAGGTCAGGAAAGCACACAGCCCCTCTATCGGGGAGTCTGCAATGAGCCCCGATTGGCTCCTGTAGTCTAGAACTCTAGAACCAAGTAAGCGTTGTGAAGTCGTGAGGAATGTAATTCAGCCGTCATTTCAAAGGTTCTTCTTCGTATCGGAGGAGTAGCTGCGATCGTCTTCGCCCTCGACATCCCTGAGGATCGTCTCCATCTCCTTGGCCTGTCGCTTCCACTCCTTGTCGTCCATCTTCGTCTCTCTGCGGAAAAGCTCCTCGTTGGGCTTGCGGTAGCTGCCACCCAGACGGTCCCACAGAGTGGTGAACTGTCCGTAGTTGTAGTTGAAGTACAGGTGGTGCATGGTGTGGCAGGCAGCACCATTCACAATGGGGCTGTTGGCAACGTACTCGCCGTCATGAATGAAGACAGTCCAGAGGTTGATGAAGCCGAACAGGAAGACGTAGGCGAACTTTTGCAGGGGGAAGAGGAAGGGGAAGACGTGGTACGGGACACTCTGGGACCAGCCATCGAGCGGGTGGAAGGCGTGTGAGGCATAAGGGCTCGGCATGATCCACTTGTGGTGAGGCTTGTGTAGGGTCTTGTAGACGCGGGGGTGGTGCAAGCCACGGTGGATCCAGTAGATGAAGAAATCGGTAAAGCAGATAAAGAAGGGGATTTGGATCAGACTGTAGTATGGGAAGGGCTCTTCGGCGGTGGTATCGTAGAGTTTGGCGTATCCGCGGACCTCCAGAACGAAGAAAGGAGCCGTCAAGAGGGACATCAGGGGCATTGCAGACATGGCCTGTTTGATCTCCATAGGAATTTGGTTCTTGAGGAATTTGGGGTGGTTGTAGGTTGTCTTGTCCCAGATAAAGATGAAAGAAAGCGATGCGACCACGAAGTAGACGAGCAGACCAAACAACCTAATTGAGTGTTAGTTCTTATGTTGCGGAAAAGTGGTGATGTGAAATCTTCAAAGGATGGGCGCATTACCAAGTGATCAAGAAAAAGCTTGTAAATTGACGGTACATGTTGGTCCTGGGCCAAGCACTCAGGTATGCGTATTTCGAGGGTTCCAGGTAGATCATCTGTGTAGCCTGTTCATAGACATAAGATTCCGGTCCAAAAAGGGCCATCGAGGTATTCGCGGCCGCATTGACAAAAGCCGGCAGCGAGATGGACGACGAGAGCGAGGCGGGAAGAAGAGCCGAATAGAGGCGATCACCAATAAAGGTGTCCCATACTTCGAGAATGATATCCATGATTGAGGGCACAGATAGGGGGGGGGGGGGGGGGGGAGAAGGAGAAGGGGAAGTGAGAGTACTTGAAGGAACAAAAAAAGGAGAATCGCGGCGAATAACAATAGTAGTCACACCAGCGCGGAACCGCCACAGCCGTTGCGATGCCACCTTCTTAATAAGCCAATTGATCCAGGGGGGAATGGGCTGATGCGGGAATATTATATGGTTATCATATGAGTGGTTAGTGTCATGTATATAAAAGCCTAGTTATCTACTTCTTTTTTGGATTTTATCCCTTCATACACCTTTATAGTCTATGTTGTACTTGAAAAAAGAGAGCAAAAACTTTAAAAAAAAGAGATGAACACAGATCTGACCCCTGGTTTGCCACAATTTATGCCTTGATGCCTGGAGCGCCATACTTTGTGGCTATTTTGTGGCCCGATATATCAGGCAATAAAAATAGCAAAAGTACATTACAGTAAGAGCAGTACCAAAATGGTACTGCACGGGCCAGTTCCACTTCCGCTTCCCGTACTCAGAGGTACCTCCACTGCCCGCACTTGCGGGTGTAGATCCAAGTATTCTCTGGTATTCCGGGTATCTTCAGCCATTGAAATAATACAGTGAAGCTCGCGATCTGGACCCATCCATGTACGATGTTCACATCTGGGCATTTAGCCATACAAAATACTTTGAACCAAGAAAATTCTTGACTTTCTAGTTTCATTTACAGTGCAAACAGTATTCCAGGTTTAATTATCATTCGTTTGCCTTTTCTTTCTTGTATGTTATAATAGAAGTATTATATACAATGGTTCAAAAATATGCCATAAATTAGTACTTTGTACGGAGTAGTCTACGGTAAGACCCGCTGCGCTTCTCGGCTATGACCTCGCTTCTCGCGTCAACCACTGCCGCCCTCCCCCCAAACTCAAACCTTCCCGCTTTAAAGTGTCATCTGCCAGCCTCTTCCACCCCTCTTACCGCTACACCCCCGTTCTCATTCCCCAGCTTATACTGTACCGCCCACTATCGCTGTGGCTAGCTGCGTGGTGCTATCCACCAAGCATTGGAGCCTCAGTGATCAAGATCATTGAGTCCAGCTCGAAACTTTGGTTGCGACCCCATTCGCTGACCTAGAGCTGCCATCCGACCATCCTTTTTTGTCCTTCTGTGACTTGTGAAAAACAAGAAAGAAAAAAAAATATCCCACCATGTACAACGCTCATCGCGGGATGGTGCCCGCTCCCAACTCCCGTCTGACGGAGTTGCTGGATCAACTGCGCCAGGAGTTTGAGAGCCAGTCGCGAAACACCGGTGAATTTGAGCATCAGTGTACGTTATCTATCATTCCCAGCATTCTGTTAGCCCTATCCTATGCTCAGGTCAATTGCGCCTTGAGCTCTTTCTTCCCTCCCCTCTGTCCAATCATTTCATACAAGCAGCTGCCAGTTCATTTTCCCAATGACTGCAGCTCTATGGGTTCTGACATTCGCTGAAATGTTATCTAACTGACAGATCATGCAGTGACTGGTCAACTCCAAGAGATGGAGATGATCCGTCAGAAGGTCTATCAACTGGAACAGGCGCAGATCAAGATCAAGCAAGAGTTTGTTCCCTTTGCCTCCTTGGAAAGCTTGAACTACCCTCTCTAATATCGCATTCTGTTTTTTTCTTTAGCTACGAAGCTGAAATTCGAATGCTGCGACACGAACTTGAGTCGCGCGGCGTGCAACCCATTTCTTCTCACATTGGCGGACCTACTGCGACTCATTCGACTTCTTCCCAGGCTCCCCCACCTGCCCTGGGCCACGGCCCCAGCAACCTATTCGGAGGTATCATGACCAATCCACCAGGTAGTGGCCCCGGTCTTGCCCCTTCCCTTCCCCAGGATCAGCAGCCTCCCCAGCATCCCCTTCAACAGCCTGCTTCGGTCGCTCAGCCTGGCGCACCGCAACCCCAGCAGAGCTCCTTTGGAGGATATCCGGCTGGCGCTGCTGTGAACGGTATGTCGTTGTGTTTATGAAAATCGTCACCCAGTCCGCTGACCCGTTGGATCGTTCGTCTCCCAGGCTACGGGCCTCCTCCGCCTCCCACTGCATCCCCAGGCCCCGGTAAGGGCCGTGGCCGCGTTCCCCCAGGTCCGGCTACCCCCCAGCAAACCCACATCGCCTACCCGGATCCTCGTGCATCCCCTCAGATCCCTCGCCCGACTCCTCCAAACCCCCCGCTCGGCCGCACCGCCGAACGCCCGGGAAACATGCTGGCAAACTGGAACCCCGATGATCTGCCTCCGTCGCAAAAGCGTGAGGGTTCCGATTGGTACGCCGTGTTCAACCCCGAGGTCCAGCGTGTCCTTGATGTGGAATTGGTGCATCATTTGAATCACGATAGCGTCGTTTGCTGTGTGCGTTTCAGCCGTGATGGCAAGTACCTGGCTACAGGCTGCAATCGCTCGGCTCAAATCTTCGACGTGACCACCGGTCAGAACGTGGCCACTCTGCAGGATGAGAATGTTGATAAGGACGGCGATCTCTACATTCGCAGTGTTTGCTTCAGTCCCGATGGCAAATATCTCGCGACTGGTGCTGAAGATAAGCAGATTCGGGTGAGTTTTCCGATATGGAATCAGTAGCATGTTGTGAGAAGATGACTGACTCAATATGATTGGCTCTAGGTTTGGGATATTAACCAGCGCACCATCAAGCATATCTTCAGTGGACACGAGCAGGACATCTACTCTTTGGACTTTGCTGGCAACGGTCGGTTCATCGCCTCTGGCAGTGGAGACAAGACTGTGCGCCTTTGGGATATTCTTGATGGCAAACTTGTCTACACCCTTAGCATTGAGGATGGTGTCACTACTGTGGCTATGTCTCCAGATGGCCGTTACGTGGCTGCAGGTTCGTTGGACAAGAGCGTGCGCGTCTGGGACACTACCACTGGATACCTGGTTGAGCGTCTGGAGAACCCAGATGGCCACAAGGACAGTGTCTACTCGGTCGCTTTCGCACCTAATGGCCGTGATCTTGTCAGTGGCAGTCTGGACAAGACTATCAAGCTCTGGGAGCTTACCGTTCCCCGGGGCATGCACCCTCACAGTGCCATCAAGGGCGGCAAGTGTATTCGTACTTTCGAGGGCCACAAGGTTAGATTTGAGATTTACCCGAGAGACAAGACAGAAGCTAATTTTTTGACTACAATATAGGACTTTGTTCTCAGTGTGTGTCTGACACCCGACGGCGCCTGGGTTATGAGTGGTTCCAAGGATCGTGGTGTTCAATTCTGGGATCCAGTGACTGGAAATGCCCAGATGATGCTTCAAGGCCACAAGAACTCTGGTGAGTTTCGACTTTTCCATGCATTATCATCACTTTCACTAACTCGGAATAGTCATCTCGGTTGCGCCCAGTCCTACTGGCAACCTGTTCGCGACCGGCAGTGGAGACATGCGCGCACGAATCTGGAGGTGAGTTTTTTTTTCTCTCTTTTTTTTTTTTCTGACTGTGTTTCAGATTTTAGATCATAAGCTGACTCTTTTCTAGATACTCGGCGTACACTGGACGATGAAAGGGTTCCTTTGGGCGCAATGTGATGTTTTTTTGTTTTGGTTATGGGCTCTTTAGTTATGTTGACCTTGTTTTTTATTATTTATTTTTCTATACACTTAGTGTATACTTTTGAACACCTTCAATTCCAAAATTGCCATTTTCTTAAAATTTTCCCTTTTTTATGTAGACTTGAGGTCACACGGGCATACATTCTGGAACGAGCTGAATTCCATCCCAACAACGCCATCCCTGCCCGTCTGAATCACCACAGAGCCTCCGAACACTTTTTTTGAATACTCTGAAACAATGAAATACTTTTTGAATACTTTAGAGATTGGTAATATACACCTCAAATCCCTCAAATTTACATGTTGATCCAAATCTGAAAAGCACAACCCTTAATGCGGGATATATGCATAGTCTAGATGCCTCCGCCCATTCAGGAAGTAGTTCGTGAAGACTAGTCGCATCCCTGCAGGAACCATTCTTGACAAGTCCCGATACCTCAACTTCGATGCAGGACGTGCAGGGTTACCACTCGTGTCAGATGGGCATGGCTGTCACTTTTTGGATATGGGGGCTAGGGCCATGAGTAGTCATGATCGACATGAACCCATGAGCCAAGCCATTTGATGCAGTTTAAGGGGGGGGGAGAAAAAAAGGAAAGACAACGAGAGAGTAGACCCAAAAGCCCGAGCTGCGATCCTACTGGAAGAGTATGGGGGCCAAAATTGACTTCTACTTTACCTAAAAGAGAGACAGATCGTACTGGATGAGAGAGTGAGGATTTGATTGGATCTTCGAAGAGATTCAGATCACCCGACTGAATTTTGTTGGATTTTTCAGGGCCTTGAGCGGCTAACTGGGATATTCGATGGGCTGAGATCGGACACTATTGGCGACTATCGGGATGGCGCATCCTGGTACTCGTAATTACGGCCTAGCTTGGCCCAGCTTGCCCCAGCTTGCCCCAGCCATTGAGAGATTGCTGACTCCGAGATCGACTGAATAATCTACATGTCGACTGCAGGTCGATCACGGTCCACTTGGGAATTTCCGCGATTTGAAGGCCCGGCCCGTCTCCTCGAGGGGAGAGATGCACAGCACGATGGGTTTTGTTTCCTTTTTTTTTTTGGGCAAATGTTGTGTCTGACAGATGTCAGTCTCTTCAACTCAATTTACAAAAAAAAAGAAATGTGTTACAGAAGGTAATGGAAAAAGTGTACAGAAATGCTAGCTGAAAAGGGCTTTCGTCGCCAGTCGCGGCTGTGAGTATATTTTTGCCCTGTGTGACTGACATTTCACAATGGAAATACATTACCACTAATGAGACTATTCCTCGTGGTACAGGAAATTGATGCGTCCAAAGCAAACCATGCATCTCATGGACTATGCAATGCACTTTCAGGGCTCTCTCCTCCGAGAAACAGGAACTCCAGTTCGTGATTTGATATTATTTTCTAAATGTTTATATTATTTCTCAGTGGAGTCAGGTCGCCTTGGCCCAGATCGAATCAAACACTTTGTATACAGTACTCCGTACACATTGCATGTATCTTGAACTGCCTTTCCCCTTTTTTTTTTTACCTATTTTTTTCCTGTCAATTCCTAAACGTCATACAGGCGATCGAAATGGGGCTTTTTCACTATCTTCTCACCGGCTGACTCCCCCCCTGTCTTATTCCCCCCCGCCATTAGTATTCGGGGCCCTGGTATATCTAGATCGGGAGGCGCCATGGTCGATGCGGAAGATCATCGCTAGTTGTCAATCATTATATTTCTCACTCTTCACGGCATGACCTGCATATATTTGCTATTTCCTTTCCCCTCCATCTCATATATATAGATCCAGATCTATACACTGATTGCGCTTTGGCCGGCCTGTTTGTCTATTTTCCCTTATCCTTGCTTCTTTTACAAAAGCAACTCGTTGCCAGCCAGAACCCAAATACCACCAGGGATTGGGTTTCAGGACATAGTCAAAGTCTACACAGAAAAAACAAACAAAACAAAACCTCCCCAAACGCATCCTGTGGACAAGAGTATACATTGAGATACATTGGTATCTTGTGGAAGATTCCGAACGGAGAAGGTATCCTTGCCTTTTCTTTTTGAAAGATACTGAGAGGAAGAAAACCCTCCAAACAGTGAAATATGGAGACCGTAGAGCCTGTCTCTTACGAGTTCCCTGGCCATGCCCTGGGTCCGTTTGCACACAGACGTCCGATAGACTCGAGCCAGAGTTTCCCCTTCTATTCGCATCAATCAGCACCATACTCGTTGCCTTACCAGACCCCGAGTAGCCTGCCTTACAGCTTCGGGCATTCCGTGGGTCACACACATGCACATTCGAATGCCTATCAGCAGCAATACTTTGTCCCGAGTCAGCACCCGATCCAGCCGCAACCACTGCGTCTTACAACGGAACAACCGTTGCAGTCTCTTCCAGAGATTCGCCCGGCAAAGAACGCCATCACCCAGACAGTGAAGTCTACATCCGACCATGGTCCCCGGGTGCACCTTTCAACTGGAGGCCACAGTGCACCAGTCGGGGCAACAAACGACACAAAACAAACCCAGGCTGACATCGCCTTCTCCACCAACGTGGATGTCCTAATGAAGGCAATCCAGTCAAAACATGCCTCACCAACCCAGCAATCCCTCCCACCACTACAACACCTGGCACCACCAGTACCACAGGCCTATCCTGCACCGTACCCGACTGCCTCGCCCACGCCACCGCGCGGCTACCACGGCACCGAAGGCCAGCTCTCGCGCACAGGAAAGAAACGCAAGTACAACTGCAGCCTCCCAGGCTGCGGCAAGAGTTTCGCGCAGAAGACGCACCTGGATATCCACATCCGGGCACATACAGGTGACAAGCCATTTGTGAGTACACAGACCATCTTTTGAAAGCGGGATTCGGTAGTGCTACGATCAGCAATTAATCGTTTTGGACGTGGCAGATATGCAAGGAGCCCTCATGCGGACAACGCTTCTCGCAGCAAGGCAACCTCAAGGTAAGCACTTCGCCTTCCCCCCTCCCTAGCTGCCGCGCCATGCTTATGACACACGAGGCAGACATACTAACATTGCGTTATGAAAAAAAAAATAGACTCATCAACGACGACACACGGGTGAAAAGCCATTCCAGTGTGAAATCTGTCACAAGCGATTCGCCCAGCGAGGCAATGTCCGCGCTCACAAGCTTACACATGATCAGTCGAAACGGTTCGACTGCCGTCTAGATGAATGTGGTAAGCAGTTTACCCAGTTAGGAAACCTGAAGGTGAGAGCCCCTGTCTTCCCCTTACCATACGTCTCCTGTGTCATTACATATGATCCTCTCCTATCCCAACACCAACCTTTCCATCCAAAATACCCTGATCCAAACCATCCAAAAAAAAAACCAAGCTAACAATCCCCCCCAAAAACAGTCCCACCAAAACAAATTCCACGCAGCAACCCTCCACAATCTAACCGTCCGCTTCTCGCAAATGGGCGAGACAGGCCCGATGAACATGAACGCCGCAGACCGCGAACTGTGGATATATTTCGCCGGCCTCTACAAAAACAGCAACAAGGGCATCAAAGGCCGCGGCAAAGACCGCCGCATCTCAACGACGAAACGCTCCGATCCACAGAGTAGCTGCGACTCCATGGATCGGACGCAGTCCGTCGAGTCTGAAGAGGGCGCTTCGAAAATGCAGATGCAGATGCAGATGCGGCGCGGGAGCTTCGAGGATGGCTTCTCGGTTTATAATACTTCTAGCAGTGATGGGGATGATGGTGAGCCTTATTATATTGATCGTAGGGCTCATGTACATGCGCATGGACATGGACATGGGCATGGGCATGGGCATTAATTTGGTTTTGGGTTTTGTTGAGGGACTCCTCTTGTCTTTCTTTTATAGGGCTTTGTATTCGTTCCCCTTTTTGATATCCCCTTTTTATTTCTCGCTGATTCCCCTGTGATTCCCATTGGTAATTCTCTTTTTTATTTTTTTTTGTCTTGTTTTATTCTGGGATAGGAAGACTGTTGTCTTTCCTTATGTTTTTTCTATTTCTATTTTTTTTTTTACTCTTCCTTTAGGGTTTTATCAAGATGTATACGATTCACGAGTGACTTTTTCATTTGTATTTTTTGGACTTGGCATATCCCCCGCGCTAGGGTTGTACGGTTAAATCGGCAGGGTCTTGGGTTTCTTTTCTTTTTTTTTTCTTACTTCTCTGTACAACTTACATATGTAGTTACGTAGCTCGGCGAGGCGCATATCACTTATGTCTCGAAAATAATCGAAAGTGTTTTTGGAATAAATTGGAGAGAGATTTTCATATTTCTGTCGGCCTTATTTGAAGACCCGGAGTTAAATTGTACAGTACAGAGGAAAGCTAGAAAAAGAAAAGGACAGAAAAAAAATGGCTCTCCAGGACATAAATCATTGAATGAAACTGCTCAAAGAGATCGAATGCGAGAAAGCAGTATGCATAAGCTGATGCATGGTCGAGATGGCATCCGTATATGTGACAGCTCTATTGCGCATCAGCATCGGCAATATCCAAATCTACATCCGCCGCATCCTCCCGCTCAGACACAGGCGGGGCCTGGGTGCCGAGGGGAGTAGCATTGGCCAGGGTATCAGATATAAAGGCCTCCTCGACGGCAGCCTTTCTCCGGAACACGCGGAGCCAGCGACGGCCCCACTGGCGGATGATGGCGTCCTGGGGCTGGGTTCCGCTACCGTCACCGCGCTCCATCTGTTCGTCGTTGCTTCCAGCAGCGATGGAGACGATGGAGTCCTCGATGTACTTGAAGAGGGTTTGCATATCTGCGCGCTCACGGGCGAGGGTCTCGTCGATGATGCTGAGCTGGGGCTCGTACAGGCCGGGCTGGGTGCGGGCGGCGACGATCTGGCGCATGCGGTTGGTGACCTTAGCGACGGTGGCGGAGATCATCTCGAAGACATGGGGCTTTGAGAGGATGGTTCCTGCTGCGACGGACTCGGAGAGGGCCCATTCAAGGACCGAGAGCGGGGTGAGGATGGTGTAGTTGAGCAGCTTGTCAATGATGTTAATGGCGATACCGGGCTGGTCGACCCAGTAGTCCATGACGGAGGTGATGATTTGGCAGCGGGCACGTTGAGATTCCGCGCCGATGGCCAGGAGGCGATCCTTGCTCCGTTCGATGCATGATAGGACGTGAGAGAGCGACTTGGATCCGACGTAGCAGAGTGAGGTCACAAATGCATCTGTCGAGGGAATCTTGGGGTCGTCGACACCCTGGCTCTTGGCCTGGTCTTCGATGGCTGTGATGACGGGTTGAATTTCTTCGTCGGTAGCCTTCTTCCGAATAAGCTGCGTAAGTTCTTGTCCTTCTTTGGAGTATGGTGCCACTGGAAATTCAAGTTAGCAATCGTTCCCTGCCATTTGATCATGAAGTACGCTTACTTTCAGAGGAATATTTGAAATCGGGAGTATCCTTCTCTTTGCCTGGCGTGATCAACTTGGGATAGGGATCAGGGAGAGTTCCCTTAATGCGCTGGGCAAAGCTCAACCGGATTTCCTTGTCCAAAGCACCCTGGATGAACGCCATTCTTGGATCAATGGCAGGTAGATCAAGATCGTCGGCCCTGTGAAATTGTTAGACTGATCACAACGTGTGGAAGCTGACATTCGCTACTTACCACTCGCTCCATTTCCATGTAAATCCGAAGTTGCTCAAGTGGTGAGCGAACCAATCCAGGAAACGGTTGCTGAGCTCCAAATCCATGGTCTCCAGGCTGTTGTACAAGAATCGAATTGCACGGCCCAGACTGGGTGCAATTGCCGCCGGGGCAATCTTGCAGCACTCAGTGAGAACAGAGTGATAGTAAACGAGTTTGTGCTCCGACGCTGGCAATTGGAATAGCTGCGAGAACACAGCATCCACTGCCACATCCTCGGGCTTCCATGGCTGCACCTCGCCTATGAGCTCGCGCATTCGGTCGAAAGGTGTGGCACGCTTCACGAATGTGGTGGGGGTGAAATAGCAGTCGATATCAATCAGGAACTTGGCCGTAGCAACACGATTGAAGTCAAGGAGGTTAATGGTATCAACTAGTGCGTCCCGAATGAGCGATGAGGAGATGTCTGTGATCGCAGGAACGGTATCCACTTCTTGGTTGGCATACACCGAAAGGTAGACCTCCGGGAAGAGAGGACGCGCTCCGTTCGGTACAGGGTTGGGCACAGTAATGGTCGGGAAAGGAACCTTGGTCACCGATTCGAAAGACTTGGGCTCATCGGTTTCGGCGTCCCGGGCATCTTTCCAAGGACGAGGAAGGCACTTAAGCTCCCAGCCCTGGTTGGCCTCAGCTTGGAGTTGAGTCTGCATCAAACTGATAACACTTTGGCCAGCTGCCTCATGATTCTCCTCGGCACTGAATGAGTTCACCAAATCGACGAGGGCGTGCGGCGTAGATGCGATAATGTCGGTCTTCTCCAGAAGCGCGGAAGCCTGGGCCTCGAAGCCAGAGGCGGGGGACAGCATGACATAGGGAATGGTGAACTGGATAATCTTGACCAATTCAAGGCCAAGAAGCTAAGAAAAGCCGTTAGACAAGCTCCATCATCACAGGTCAATAATCCAACTTACATCCTCCGAAGAGGCAGTCTGGAGATCGACTGCACGAGCGAACAGCTCTTCCAGAAGGGAGAAGATGCCATCACCCTCATAGACCGGCTGGAGGATACCAAGGAAGCGAATAAGAAGCTTGACTTCACGCCATGCGCCGGTATCAATGTACTTCTGCAAGGCCTCAGCGGCCTTGCTCAGAACCTCCGATCCAAGCTCGGGCTTGAGACTATGTGCGACCAGGACTGTGCCGGCGATAAAAGGGATTTTCATTGGTTGTTCGAGAACGCTGCACGTTTCCAAGTTAGTAACATTCCACAGCGAATTGAGTACACCCGACACGTACAGATCAAGGGAGATGTTGACAAAGTCGCGACGGATCTCCTCGTCATCGTAGTTATCCGTGACTGTCTTCGCAATACCCTGGACATCATCTTCTGCTCTGCGAGCAGCCTATAAATGAAACATAAGCGTTAGTTCATACCAACCATTTTGTAGAGCGCAATGCGCGCGGGGAGAAAAAAAAACGAGCTCCGTACCGATTCCGCAATGGTCAACAACTGTCGTCGGACCTGGACGAACAATGGCTCCTCATATCTGCGTCTTTGGGGGCGGCGATCAAAGTCATCGTCATCTAATCACAGTCAAGTTAGCGTGTTGTCCGGGAAGCTTGTCAGATCCATATGTCTCTCACCTCTATAGCGGCGTTTGCGCCCGCCCCTGTAGCCGTGATTTCGACGATCGTTTTCAGCCATTATGTTTTGGAATCAATTCAATGAGCTGGTGGTAATACCAGATTCCTATCGTAGAGACAGTGATTCTGGGGAATTCGAAAGCGAGGGTGACAGCTTGGGAGCTTGGGGTGAATGGCTCGGAAGGGGAAAATTGAAATTCCGGTCCCGGTGCCCCTGCGTGACTACATCGGATAATAGTTCACTTGGTATTCCATAACTAGTATCTCCTTGTTTATACATAGGAAAGTCGTACGGTTTGAGTGTTGTACTGCCTTCTCGTCTTGGGAATTGTCAAACTGAGAAGAAATATTTCCAAAAAAGATATCATAGTGCTCATCTTAACTAGTATAACCTGGGGATAAACACCCCATCCCATATGGCCGGATACATTTTCCACCTACATAGTACAAAATTTACACTGTCCAAAACCCATTTATTCTTTACGCACCACTACCGAAAAAGAAAAAGAAAAGAAAAAAAGAAATTCGTCTGCTTGAGAACTGGAATGACATATAGCTCATGGCCGGTAAGTCGGAGGACCGGGGAACCAGCCAAGCCCGATGAATCTGATACAAGGATATTGCGAACAAAAAAAAAAAGAAAAGCAAAGACGCAAAGGGAAGAACGAATGGGGATTCTAGCGCTGCAAGACAAGAGATTGACCATCATAGAAGGGTCCTCCCTAAACATGTATCCAAAGAAATCTTCAAGATCTCAGATGCATTTGTGGGAGATTCACCCCTCCATCCGGGGTCGAGATCGGCTTGCTGCGTGTGGGGGTTCTTCCCCTCGACCGATGAAACTATGCAGTCCCCGACCCCCAAAGGCAGACGTGCACAGAAAGGGTATCACTTTTTCCTCCCGAGAGCTGTCTCAGACACCTCAAAATAAACTCCAGGCCATGACCTCCCATTTCGTGAAAACCATCAGCCCTTACCACCCTGAAGAAACATAGTTTCCGCTTCCCAGCCATTAAAGGATGCACTTTTCCCACTTCATACCATTCCCTGCTCAATTCGCCAGTTCCAAGGTTCCACCATGTCCGGGGTTGAGGCATAGAGTCCCGAAAGAAAGAAAAAAAAAAAAGACAAGGCAAGTGCACTCTCAATTCAGAGCTTACTCGAGATCATGATGGAACTTGATTGGCAGGTCGAATCTTCTCACGCACAGTGCAGATGGCGGCACAGCGAACAGACGTATCATTCGCGGAGGGCGAAGGACACATACACTAGTCAACTCAATCAAGGTGCGCAAGCATCTCCTCCTTGGAAAGGGGTTTGAAGTTATCGAGACCGAGGCCGCGAGCTTCGAGGGCTGGGCGGGCGTGAGGGGGAATCATCTGGGCGTTGAGTTCAGGGGCAATCGAAAGTTCTAAAGGTTGATTAGTTGGGGGGTTGTGGTCTTTCTAGAGAGGGTGAGATATATGTTTACCATGTCGTGAGAAATCGAAAAGGGTGGGGAGATCCTTGGAGGGATTGTTGTGGTGGCGTGAGTCCGGTAGCCGGGTGTTCGGGTCGCG